CAACAGACAACAACAACAACAACAACAACAACAACAACAACAGCAAACAATAACAGCAACAACAACAAACAACAACGAGTTCATTCGTTTTTCATCAAACATTAAACAAATTAGAAATACAATGAAAATACTACAAAAATTAGAAATAATTATAAAAAAAGAAGAAAATTGGTAAATTATTTCATAATAACTTACCTTTAGCAACAACCCATCCAATACCTGCTTCTTTCGCTTTTTTAATTGCTATATCCATGGCAAAAATTGCCAACCACTGGGCCAAGTAAATTATTTCCATCAATCCATGCACTTGCGGCATGCTCTTTGAGAATTTTTGGCATACCATCTTTCATGCATATACCTGTTTGTACATCTCGAACATACATATCTTAACATATTTATCGTTATTACTTAAATATTAGATGACATATAAGATGACACATGCATATTTTTTTCTTAGCTTATCTTTCTTTCTTATCTTTCCAAATTTCATTTTACATTTCTTTTATTTTAAAATATTAAAAAAGCATTCATTTAAAATTTTCATTTAATAATATAATAGAAAAAAAAAAAACAAAATTATAAAAAAAAAAGAAAAAAATTATGCATTATGTATAGGTGAAAATATCAGAATTAATTAAAATATTCTAATCAAATTAAATATAAATAAACGAAATTTTTCAAAAAATTTTCATCGAAATTAATCTTTTTTTTTCAACAATTTATTCAATATTCAATTTAAAAGAAAAAAAATGAATTAAAAGACATTTTATGGTTGAAAATAACATTATGAATGTTTAATTAAACTTCAAACAAATTTAATTTGCTATAAAATTTAACAATAAAAAATAATTCATTTTAACAAACTTAATCGATTTAATCCATGACTGTAATGTCCTCGTACATCAGCTGCAACCAATACATCAGCTAATTGTTCAGCATGATTTTTTGATGTACCTACTTTAACCATACAATTTACTATATATCGTTTTACCTAAAGTTATATTGATAAGATTATAATTTTAAATTGCTAATTTCATTGCAAATTTATTCAAAATTTATTCGGGTTGTAAAAATAGAAAGAAAAAATTTATTCTTTTAATTTTTTATTTTTCTTTTTTAAATTTACAAGTTTTCATTTTTTTCTTTTTAAATTTAAATTAAGGAAATTGCATATGATTGTTTTTCGCAGTAAAAATTATAATTCAATTTTTTTAAATTATCAATTTATTCTATTTTATTTATTTTATGTAATTAAAAAAAGTTTGTAGAATTATTCATTTCAAAAAAAATATATAAATATAAATACATATATATATATATATATATATATAATTTTACCTCTTGAATTGCTATAATTTTATCATTTGTGTTAACGGCTGTCACCATATTTCGATTTAAATTTATCGTACAGTTGAAAATTTTCGATCGCTCAATGTTGACGCTAATATAGCATCGATGAATATGAATGCTATTAGATGGATGAGGAAGTAACATGAAGGATGATGTCCATTTTAATCGAATTTTATCACCACAATGAACAAATAATCGTTTTGTTATTCGATTGAATAACATTATCTTGATAGTTTGTTGATATGCTAAAACTGTTATTTTCCATAATAAGTAGAGCACAAAGCGTCTAAAATTGAAATTAAATTCGAGAAAATCCGAAAAAGCAAGTAAAAATGACCATTATTATTAATATTACTTTATTATCATTGTTATTGTTATTACTATTATTATTATTATTATTATTATTATTATTATTATTATTATTATTATTATTATTATTATTATTCATTATTATTATTATTATTATTATTATTATTATTATT